ATATATATATAAATATATAAATGGATGTCAATTTGTGACAATGGGTATCTACGGGTTACTATGACCACTTTCATGTTTTGATAACAGAAGCCTCCAATAGTACTCAAATATGAAATGTAACCAGTGCAGATATAAATGAGTAAGATTATTGTGAGGGTGAATGCAGAGATCGATTAAACAAGACAACCACAATCCTCTACTCTATAACCACATCAATAGATGTTCATATTCCATATGCATCTAATTACCAGATAAAACCGGGCATAAAGCATGAAAATAAAATAGATCACACTCAACAGAGAAACGGATTATTTGTAAACTAAATCCATCCTTCTATCTTTGTGCAGGAAGTCCTAGTATCTCCATTTTGAATCAGCCATTGAGGCCAGAAAAACCTTTAACAAAAGCAAATCTAATGCAGATTGTCACCAAGTTAACTTGGCTGCAAACATTTTGTTCTAACTGACCAATCAGAGGACAGAAAATGGTGATGTTAGGACAGGCCCCTTTAACTGGCCGATTACGAGGCAAAATTCAAATCTGATTGGTTGAGGAAAACATTCCTCATTAATATTGTTAAGGTAAGATCAGCCAGCACTTCTGATTCTGAAAGCCCTGGGCAGATTGGATCGACATAGCAACGAATTAAAGCTGAAATCTGATTGGAAAAGTAATATAGCAACCACATAATTGTAATGGAAGCAGTGCTGCCAAGAGAAATGTTACAAAAATAAGAGAATGGATAGTTTGGAATAAATTAACACAGTAGGAAAAAAGAAAAAAACAAGTTTAGGTTGTGAATGTAGGTTAGTGTTTCTGATTGATTTTAGGGACCTGGGTGCATAAATGCCGTTAGTGGCTGCCATGTTGTTGGCTGTGTTGCCACTGTGTGTTAAAAACTCTGTACTTAAAGGAGAAAATAATGCACATGTCCTTGCAGCTCTAGTCTATTTGTCAAGAGCAAACCTCAGGTTGTAAAAGTGTGGGCAAACTGTGTCACTGTAAGAGGCACAATTTAAAAGGGTAACTTTTTAGCCCTTTTCAATTAACACTCGAAGGTCTTAGATGAATTTTGCCATCTGTGTGAGTTTTCTGTAAGAGCCACGTCTGTTTCGAGGGTTGTTGGCTGTTATGCCTCTAATCCACCAAGTGAGATAGTGACGTCCCCATAACAGAAGACTTAGGGAAGGAAGTGTTTGCCGGCTTTGTAGCTCAAGAGTGTGATGTACTTGTACTGGTGACAGATGGTCTACAGTACTTCCACGGTGAGATGTGTCATGCATCTCATTTTTTGCCATTAACAAACACTTGATGGTATCAGTCTGAGGTGTGTAGGGGAAGAGATCACCAGACTTTAGGCAGAGGATGTTTCTTTACGAGGGAGAATATGAAAAACAATGTGTTCAACCCAACAAAATAGTGGATGTTCAGATGGCAATGTGTAAGGCTGTGTGTTCATCTCTATACCTTCTCACACCAGCAAAAACATATAATACATTTTTTTATATGACTATTTTAACAAATTTAACAGATATCCCTACTGTGTAAATGTTTGAAGCACCTAAAAGATTATGAATTATGGAAACTAACAGAGGAGGTGTGTGTACTAATCTGTTTGTCCATCACCCTCTCCTTCTGTCTATTCTTTCAAAATATCTTAAAGCACATTAACTGATTTAATAAGTGATAAGAATAAAGGTTAATGCCATTAATTTTACTTATAACACAAGAACAGTTTGATCCCAAACATTTTAAAGTTGCACAGTTTAGATTTTGGGACGAAATGAGACTAAAGTGTAATTTCTACTCCTAAGAAGTATTACTAAATTACACATACTAAATCAATATTAAGGTACTCTTCAAAATATTTGCATCAGGTTAATTTGGCTTATGTATACAGTGGTTAAAACATACGTGTCAGTTGCATACTTTTCTCTCCTTTAATACTAAAATATATAATTGAAAAACTGTGTTCCATGTTAATTGGTGTTGTCTTTGACTAATATTTAAATTAGTTTGATATTATGGAAAAAATGATGATTTATATGACAAAAAATTGAATAGATTAAAATAGAAATACATTACTGAATCTCTCATAGCTTTCTCTACTTTTTAATCATTATATATTTATATATAATGATATCTAAATGCTCACAATTAATAAATCTGAAAATGGGCATTTTGTTTGAATTTTTATCATAATGTACATTCATATTATGTTTCATATAATTCCAAGATGTTATCACAAATGACTCAATCTTTTTAATAGGTACAGTTTACCTTTAGTAGAAATTAAAACCAATGTAAGAATCACCATCTCAGTAGGTTCAGGAGTTCAGTGACACAGAAATATTTTAACTTGTACGTTACTCATTTTCCAACATTTTATTTACAAGTAATTTAAGATTAAATCATTTTATGACAACACTGATCGAATAAGTAATTGAATAAATCAAACCATTCAAAAGTACACCTGGTATATGTTTATACAAAAAATTATTTCAGTAAGATTTATTTAGATGCTTAGATTAGTTATTTTTTCTAAATACTTCAAACGGTATTGCTTTTGTTTTTGAACGCTCTCAAGGGTAAAGAGTAAATAATTCACAAATCCAAAACTCCATTTTAAAATAATTTTAGATGGCTTCTCGGTTAATATTGTTTCTATATTTACTTATTTGGTCCTCTCCGGCCTGTGACCCTTCCTTTAAACTCCCTCTTCCACACAGTGTTTATCCCTCCTCTCTGTGCTCATTTGTACTGATTCCTACAGGTCAATATGGATGGTGATTGATTATAATGGTGCATGATCATGATTCAGTGATAATAATTTTATGTGAATGATCTCAACTCCTGTTTTACTTTGTGGAAGCTCTATGTGAAGAACAAGATACACGTCCCAAATATGGTAATATAGTGCAAACCTATAAACAATCGAAACCTTCACTAAGCATTTAAGGCTAACTAGTGACTATATAGCAGCTTCATTGATTACATGGGACTTTATGCTGTTAGCTGGGGACTGGAACTAACCAGCAGTAATGATTAATGCTCACTTTTTAAAAAATATTTTTGTTTTTCTACAGCGAATCTTGTTGGGACTTACTGAATATTATTGTTGCTACAGTCAGCTTGGCTGTGTGTGAAAAGCTGAAGACACAAACTGAAAATGATGAGCATACTTCAATTAAACAAGTGGAAGGGATTAGATAACCACTCACTGACTGAATGAAAACCGAGCTCTCCAAGTTTCTTGTATAAGTAAAGAAAAGTGACAAACATATGATCATATTTATGTTAATAACATTACATACATAATTTAATCATTACTATATAATCATTACATTATATTACATATTTTATTATATAATCACATTATATTTTGATAGTAAATAGTAAAAACTATCAGATTTAATTAAAAACCACCATATTAAAGCATTACTAAAGAAGATTCTGTTCTGGCTCTCCCCAGTGGTTAAAAAGCTGTATTGTTTTGCCTGAAGGAAGACAGCATTTCCCATGAGGACCAACGCATAGCAAGGTAAAACCCTTATCTCCTGAACGCCTGCAGCTGGATTAAACATTTCTGTTTCTAGTGACTGTGTGAAATATGAATAGTGATGAGGTAACAAATCTAACTATGGTGAAATAATGTCATATGACGATGATGAAAATAAGAAACTTTAAACTTTGTGTTGTATGTGGAATGAAGGTCGAAAAGTTACTTAGTGTTTGTTTAATTGGGGATTGGAAGTTCAGTATACAACCACGTCCCCACTAAAAATAGAACTAGTGCTGCCACTGTATGTTTTTTTCTATATCCCTGTAAAATGATAACACACACACACAAAGTCTTTTTAAACCATTTTATCCCTAGATTTAGTTTTCTTACATTTATAATGGAGGATTTTTCTGTAGGTAAGAAATGCTCAAGTCACCTTAAAAAAAGAAGCAGCACATGAGCAAGGCTACCTGCTTTGCTGCTCCTCAGGGGGAATGCCTATCAAATATATGTTCGCTAGTGAGCAGAGGCTCCGTTGATCTGGAATAAAACTCTGTTTACAGTCAGTCCACATAACTTAGATTTTCAGAGCAAACAATTATATCAATTGAGGTAAAAAGTTATTTTGTAATTTGCTCAATTTGTTTTTTCTTGTTTTATTTAGTTGTTTGTGACCTCCGTTAATTGTGTTATTTATTTTTCAGCTTGCTGAGGCCCCATGATTCTAAAGTTTGGGTTATCTCACCTTGAGTCAGGTCCTCAAAGTTCTTTTTCTATCCTGGTGTTGATCTTTTCTGCTCTGTTTGGTCCATGCTGTCCATTACCACTGGTCACTGCTGGTAACCTAAGATCCTTTTAGTTTGTTTTTTTTTCATAGGAGGGTTGTTTTTTTTAAGTATTTCTAATCCAGAATTTGATTGCTTTGTAAATCTACAGTATAGTCATGTCCCAGATGATATACCTTGAATATCATTGAACTTGTGTGCCTTTACAAAGCGGTAATGTTTTTGGGTGAATTCTTTGGGTGGCATTGCTGAGCAGTCTGTTTTTTGGTGTGGGAGTTTATACAAATTGCACAGTATTTAGGAACCTCACCGTATTACTGCCATATTTGTCAACAGACGACAGGCTTAATGTGCTTAAAACATCAGTGATCCAACAATAGGTTGCTTTAATGCAAAATTATGAACCCTTCTGGATCTGTGTTGAATTGTTTTTTTTTTTTTAATGAGCTGCATTCTGGCTCCTGGTTCTCCAATGAAACCCTTTTCTATGGCCACACAGAGCAATAAAACAATGATGGGGAATTACCATTTTAGGCTCTTGTACAGTAATGGACAAGTTTCTCTTCAACACATTGACCAAATAGTAGTAAGGATGTACCTTGACAGCCACCAGCATCTTGTCCTTGGTGGGGCTGAGGTTGTAACACTCTGCCAAGAAGACTTTTCCGAACGCCCCTTCACCCAACTCCCTCTTCAGGATGATGTCTCTCCGCTTTATATGCTGCACAACTAAAACAGAAGACAGAGGAACTGTGAATAAAGAGCAGATCAGACATTTGTTTATGTCCATTACAAACATCAGTGTTTTATTCATTCAATTCTTTTAGTATTTTTTGAAACATTACTTGTTTCAAATTGTAAAGATCATGTAACAAAGAAATTTAATAAATGACAACAATAAAACACAAGGATCTAAAGCATGCTAAGGTAAGTAGGTAAGATTGAGGTAAGCTTATATATTCAGGAATAGGAACATATTCTATATAAAACTGATGTTCAGTTTGTATGTAGAATATAAGAGCTGCATACGGGATGTTAGCAGCTCTTCCACAAAGTCTATTCATTTTGTGCACAGGAATTTGATGGTCTTTAATGTTCCACCTTAATTCTAGATCAGCTTGTAGTGAAAAAATGTGTTTCCCATTTGTTCCTCTTTTCCTCCATTTAAAAATCTGAATTTGTGCTTGCTTTTTTTTCCTGTATTGTACAAACTTGCTCAGGCAGCAAACCTGCTTAACAAGGCTACTGTAAGCCTGAAGGTTGATCTTACTAAGGCATGAAAACCTGTTTTTCAGTGTGAGTTATTTTGGAAACTGAGCTAGACTCCTTTAGGTTTAAGGTTATTCAATATCTCTCTGTTATCTCTGTTACTTGTTTTGGTTAGTTTTCATGTAAATCCCTCCCAGCTGTTTGCTTCTGTTAAATAGTTAGTGCAATACTTTGTCTGACCAGAACAGATAGAAGACTTGCTAACACTGCATCTGTTCTCCATTGGAAGGATAACTAAAGGCTGGCTGAGCGAGGACCAAATGACCATCAATCTTGTTCTTGTTAAATAAGACCTAGAACATTTTTCCGATAACACAGTTTTAAAGTTTTTTTGGGTAATTATACTTTTGAAATACTAGACTTTGCCAAAATCCTATTTATTGTGACTTCTGATGAAAATAATTGGATGCAGAGATTAAAAGAACTAGATCAAAGATGAGAAGACACGACACATGAGTGACACAACTGGTATTGCGTGTAACTACAGCCACCAGCCAACTGCTTCACTAACAGGCCATATTTGCAGCACTGCACTGGTTGTGCCGTAAATGTTTGTAACCACATCCCTTTTTAGTCAGTATATGTTTGTTTATTTGCTAACGGCAGAGGAATCAATTGCCATCCCCGACATGGTTTAAAACAACCGCTTCTTCTTCTACTACTAGTACTGAAACAACCGCGACTTCCTTTATCAACGCCCTCAGACACACATACGGTGTCCATTGGCATCAGATCTATAGGACTGCACAGGAAATTCTGCCCCCAAATTTTTTGTAGCATTTTATGCAGCACAAAACCGTTTCGAGGCAGTTGATAGATACTTATATGGACTAGGTTTTGCTTTTAATGCTTCATCACACATTAACATTAAAACACTGGACATGCACGTACATTCTTTCACAATTCCTGCCCCCAGTTTCTTTAAACAACAACCAAGGAACCATCAAGACTATATTATATTATGAGCTATAAGAAACTGGAATACCAGTGTCATTGTCCTTAAAGAAGTGAGCTTTACATCTCCCATGTTTAGAAGCTGTACAACAGGAAGGCAGAGTCTGCCACAAGCAGAGATGTATAGGATGTACTTAAATGCTCAATCAGTGTCAGAAAACCGGTCATTTTAAATGAGCAACACTAGTAACTATAGGCTTCCTTACAGCGTAATAGAGAAGTGAAAATGCCATGCTGTGTCCTTACTGTAAAAACCGAGTAAATAAACAAAGGATCCGAATGTACAGTGTACTCAAATGTAAAAAAACAACAACACAGTTCTAGCTACATTGAACTGCCTAAGAAAATATACTGCACACGTTAAGGTTTTAAATCTAATCCCAATGAAGAAACCCGACAGTTGCCCTGTGTAGATCTATATCACTATATTTTAATGTCAGAGCTGAGAATCAAAGTTTGAACATTGCCTAAAGAAAACAAAACTGTTAAATTTTTACCACTGAGTTCTAAATTGTCCAGCTGAAGCTGTGCAAAAAGGAATAAAAAATCCTCTCGTCTCAGTTTCCCACCAAGATAATTCACTGTAGGAGGAACAATGCAGTAAACTTTATGTTTTTGGCTCCTGACCTTAGATTATTTTCATTTCCTGCTGTCATTACTTACAATGTTTGTGCTGCGGAATGGAGGCCTATTCCTTTTATTGATTATCCTTTAAAACTGCCACAGAATAAGATGGCCTTGTAAGTGACTAGGGGGGAAAGAAAAGGTAGGAATATCAAAAAAGGAAGCAGTATAAAAAAGACAAGGATGTGTGCTGAGCTTATAAAAAGCTACTCTTTGTGGCTGATTCTGAATAAAATATGATGGTTTGCAGGTTTATCATTAAAGCAAAATTACTCAATAGAACACATAGAAGTAAAAAAAGCTTCTGGAACACTTTAGATATAAAAACAATAAAAAAATGAATCATACAGTACCTTCAGCATTTATCTTTGCTGTTAAGTTTATTGTGATACATTTGAAGATTTCATACTTAGCAAAGGAAGTAATAAAGGACTGAAAATATTTCTAGAAAATGACACAAGAAACTGATAATGATTTAACATTCAACACTGGTAGTAGAATTTAATTATAAACCAACCACAAAGAAAAGATCCTTCCCAGATTTCTAACAATGGAATAAAATGAATTATTAGAAAAAGAGTCAGATTACACCCAGAATGAGCTTGCAATAGAGGTGCAGTTTTCTATAAGAAAAAAAAAAGAAAAATGTAATTCACATAGCTGCCGTCACCACTATGCAAACGGAATGCGCAAGACTCCACTGCTGATTTAGATTTAGACGTTGACATGTTTAGTAGTTGTTTTACCTGGTAAATTCCGAAGCTTCTACACCACAAAGAGCGATCAGGAATAAAAAAAAAAATATATAACAAAAGGGTTTAAATTTTGTTCAATTATCTATATTGGCAGGGCTGTGGGAAAAAATCTATTTTGCTATAGTTACAGATAAATTTTGATTTTCGGCTGCTGGGTATAAGATCGACAAAAAAAAAACCCACTTTCAATAAAACAATGGGGGTAAATTTGCTACTTCTGCACCACCACTGCAGTAGATGGCACTGTGGAGCCCTTTTGCTGTGTTGCACAACACTATTTCCATAGAAGAGGCATTCATTGGGGCAGGCAATGGACTGACTCAAACAACATAGATACCAAAATAACAAAATAACTGAATGATACCTGATCAATACCTTCTCTACATTTAATATCTATTTTATAGTAGCTGGGTAGAATATCGCAATATATTTTGATTTTTCAATATGCAATATATTGATGTACTTCTAGATAGATAATGATGACTAAATATCAATAGTGGTTGAATAAAGAAAATAGTGCATGGAATTCATGGAAAAAATGCTAAAAAAAAAAAACCCAACTAATTTTGTGAAGCTACTAATAATAAAATATCCCCTGAATTCCACTGATTAAGGGTCATAAAGTTTTTGTTTTACTGTAATTATAACTCATAGATTAATAGAAACCTACACGAAACTGCAATTTAAACAAATTGCCACACATTTTCAATTTACCAAATTAGACTGTTTTATCAGACAGATCTTTTTCTAATAAGATATGGGTAGCATCCACCAGAAATTCATGCAAAGTTTCCCTCTTGTAGCGGCTCTTGGTGTGGAGAATTAGCTTCTTTTATGCCTGCACCAATGCCTAAGTGGGGACTTATCAGGAGAGACACAATATAAACTGATGAGGTTCCCTGCAAAGCCTGAAGTCATAATCTGTCCACACAATACCGTCTAACGCCTTTCTCTGAAATGTCACTTCATGTTTTTTCCTGTTGTACTTGTCTAAATTCTTGCCTAAGGCAGGGAGAATTTATATTGTAGAGGTTAGATTTACCAACGCTGTAATTAGACAGTCTAAGTTCATCGCTAGGACACGCATTAATTTTTAAAACTGTGCCACTTGCATGGGAGAGTAGCAAAAAACAATTTGGAGATGAGAGTGAGAAAAAGGTAACATAAAACGGCAAACAGTACAAGAGTTACAATGAAAGCTGAGTAATAAAATAATGAAAGCTGGGTTAAATCCTTAAAATGGTATCCA